GGCATCTACCAGCTGGTCCACCTTTGGCAGGGGGTAGTCATCCTTGGGGCATGTTTTGTTCAGATCTGTAAAGTCCACGCAGACACGCCATTTCCCCCCTTTCTTCTTTGCGCACACCGTATTAGATAGTCATTCTGGGAATTGTATCTCTCGAATTGCGTCGGCCTTCAGGAGTTTGTCGATTTCCTCGTTGACCGCGCTGGTGTGATGCGGGGCCATGCATCGTGGCCTCTGTTTGACTAGCTTGTGCGACGGGTCAACATGCAGCCTGTGTGTGATTATCTTGGGGTCTACCCCCGTTATTTCTATCTCGTTCCACGCGAACACGTCTGTATTCCCCCTTAGGAACTTGATCATCTCCTCTNCGACGAACCCCCTAGAGGGGGTAGCAATCCCTTTCGGGGTATATCTTCCCGCTCCTTCTCCTTTCTTTTAGATTGGAGGGCTCGGCCTTTGCTGCTTCCCATCTCGTCCTCAACCCTCGAGTACTTGTTTATCCGGGCCATTAGTTCCCCCATATCNACCTCTCTTCTTCTCCTTTTATCAAGGGCACCTTCCGGAGGTCTTCCACTGACCGCTCAGTTGGGTCTATCTGGGGGTCATCCATTCCTGGACGCCCGGACTGTAATTGCTATTTTTTCATAATCTCTTCCGGTCCTCGCCCCTTCTCCTGGCTGGACGCCCCGGCTCGAACGGCGGAATAAAAACAGTTTTTCGCGGAAGCCTGGTCCCCCCGGATCTCCATGATACCTTCTGGCGTGGCAAATTTTAATTTCTGGTGGNAATCCAGAGGACATATATGAATGACATCTATGATGTTGTCCGGTTCCTCGGTCGGGGCAGGGGCTCGTCTCTCTTCTGGCCTGGGCTCTATGTACTCTTTCAAATGTCCGTCTCGGACCAAGCTTTCCAAGAACGATTTGAACACCCTGCAGCTTTCGGTGCGATGCCCGAAATCCCGGTGATAGGAACACCTAACCCTTTGATCACGGGTGGAGGGGTCGCCCTGCATCCTAGGCGGCCATTTGAAGAACGGCTCGTTCTTGATTTTATGGAGCAACTTGAAGATGGGTTCTTTGAAAACAGTGTGAACTCCTCTCGACGAACCCCCTAGAGGGGGTAGCAATCCCTTTCGGGGTATATCTTCCCGCTCCTTCTCCTTTCTTTTAGATTGGAGGGCTCGGCCTTTGCTGCTTCCCATCTCGTCCTCAACCCTCGAGTATTTGTTTATCCGGGCCATTAGTTCCCCCATATCCGAGGGAGTCTTCTTGGTCAGGGATCGGTACAGGTCCGTGTCCCTTGCCAAGTCGAGCCGGAAAGATGCTACTGCCATGACCTCCGAGCAGCCTTCTATCTCATTAACTTCTTCCCAGTATCGGATGGCGTACTGGCGAAGAGTCTCGGATTCTCTCCGTCTGAGGGTCAGCAATGATCCAATGTCTTTAGGGCGCTTACTCCCCGTAATGAATCAAGCCAGGAACTGCCTAGTCAATTCCCTCCAGGACCCAATACTGTTGGGAGGAAGCGCCTCGAACCACTTCATCGCAGAGTCCCCCAAGCTCATAGGAAACACTCGACAAAGAAACCGTTGGTCCGAATGATAGAGGGACATCATCTGCTTGTATTGCCTGATATGGGCTTCGGGATCGGACCGCCCGTCATAGGTTTTGAACCGAGGCACGACAAATTTTCTTGAGANGAAAAATGTAATGCCAAGCTCACCCGTCCTGGCCCTTTTGCTTGGTGGCCCTACCTCACCCTCGGATACCTTCCTCGTAAAAGCTACCCTCTTGAGGTCGGACTCGAGTTCCTTGGATGTGGGGCAATCCAGAGGACATATATGAATGACATCTATGATGTTGTCCGGTTCCTCGGTCGGGGCAGGGGCTCGTCTCTCTTCTGGCCTGGGCTCTATGTACTCTTTCAAATGTCCGTCTCGGACCAAGCTTTCCAAGAACGATTTGAACACCCTGCAGCTTTCGGTGTGATGCCCGAAATCCCGGTGATAGGAACACCTAACCCTTTGATCACGGGTGGAGGGGTCGCCCTGCATCCTAGGCGGCCATTTGAAGAACGGCTCGTTCTTGATTTTATGGAGCAACTTGAAGATGGGTTCTTTGAAAACAGTGTGAACTCCTCTCGACGAACCCCCTAGAGGGGGTAGCAATCCCTTTCGGGGTATATCTTCCCGCTCCTTCTCCTTTCTTTTAGATTGGAGGGCTCGGCCTTTGCTGCTTCCCATCTCGTCCTCAACCCTCGAGTACTTGTTTATCCGGGCCATTAGTTCCCCCATATCCGAGGGAGTCTTCTTGGTCAGGGATCGGTACAGGTCCGTGTCCCTTGCCAAGTCGAGCCGGAAAGATGCTACTGCCATGACCTCCGAGCAGCCTTCTATCTCATTAACTTCTTCCCAGTATCGGATGGCGTACTGGCGAAGAGTCTCGGATTCTCTCCGTCTGAGGGTCAGCAATGATCCAATGTCTTTAGGGCGCTTACTCCCCGTAATGAATCAAGCCAGGAACTGCCTAGTCAATTCCCTCCAGGACCCAATACTGTTGGGAGGAAGCGCCTCGAACCACTTCATCGCAGAGTCCCCCAAGCTCATAGGAAACACTCGACAAAGAAACCGTTGGTCCGAATGATAGAGGGACATCATCTGCTTGTATTGCCTGATATGGGCTTCGGGATCGGACCGCCCGTCATAGGTTTTGAACCGAGGCACGACAAATTTTCTTGAGATCTCCATCTCACTGATCTCCCTCATAAATGGCGTTTGCATGACTTCGTCCTCGGCCTCATCCTGGACAGCCTTACCCTTTCTCCTGGTGTCTAATCGGGCTCTGAGATCAACTTCTTCCCTGGCGGGATGTCTTCTGAAGTCCTTGAGTTCGTCGGTAAGCCCCTCATTTCCCGGGCGTCGTGTGGATTGGGTTGAGTCCTCCTCGGATTCATCTCCCTTCCTCCGTCTAGACAAACCTCGCCGGAGGTCGTCCAGGGCCAATGGCCTTGCTTTCCTTGAATGGTTGTCATGATGATGCTCGCCGGCTCTGGGTCGCTTTGGGGCCCTAGAGCTTTCTGCTTTGTTGTTTAGGTGGTTTCTTAGATCCTTCGTTTCCGCCTCCCGGGCGGGAAGCCCACGAGAAAGGAATGAATCCCTCGATCCTTCGCCAGAGGCGGCAAACTCGTTGAGCCGGCTTAGGACGTTTACATTGTCCTTTTCCAGCTGTCGTAATCTATCGCCAAACTTTTCTTCAATCACCTCCGCCAGCTGACGAGCCAAGGGGGCTGATCCCCCTGACCTGATTCCCATACTGGTTTGAGGGGTAACCCCTCTTGACCGAGTAGAGGCACTTTTATTCGTATTGGTGTGATCCCTCCCTCCGTGATGACAGGGAGCTTGTAACTCGAGACTCCTTTGGTGGGGTCCTTTCCCTTTCTGTCGAGTGTTCACCATGGTCACTGTTCTTTATAGAGAAAAAACTAGGAAAACTAGTCGTTTCCCACAGACGGCGCCAGATTGTGCGTGCAAGATCCTGCACAATATAAAAAATGAGAACAGATCCCTCCCTTGGTGAACTCGAGTGAGCCGGTTGAGTGACCAAACGCGCTGCTTGGAACGGCCTGCCAGGCACGGTGGTAACCTGGAACGGCAATGAGAAGTCCTGGGAACGGAAGAACGATCCAGTAAGGCTGAGAGAGGTTCCTGGAACAAAGAAGAACAAGTTAGAAGGGCGCCGGAGTGTTTTCCGGCGTATCCCCTCCGACGATCTAGTCAGTCTTTGAGAGAGAGAGAGGAAGGAGAAAACACTGAGTGAGTATTGTAGTAAAGAGTTTTTTGTTGCNGTAGTCAATCTTTGAGAAAGAGAGAGGAAGGAGAAAACACTGAGAATGTATTGTGGTAGAGAGTTTTTTGTTGCATACCCGTCTTGCCTTTTGCAAGGAGTATTTATACCTCAAAAGCTCATGATTGCTGTCAGTGTAGTCAGTAGGNTGTTGCATACCCGTCTTGCCTTTTGCAAGGAGTATTTATACCTCAAAAGCTCATGATTGCTGTCAGTGTGGTTAGTAGATGATCATTAGGTACAGGCGGTGTGTGCACTGATTTTGATGAGAATGTCTTCTCTTCTTAACTGTTCGGGGTCCCGAGCAGTCAATGTTGTGCCATCGGGGCGCCAACGGTACAATGTACTCCTCTCGGAGAGGATGCAATAAATGCTCTGTATTAGGAGCATTTATTGTCTTTCATTTCCGAGCCTTACCGCATTGAATGCGGTCTCATCAAAGGAATGGTGTAATTAATAGTTTGTTTTCCCAAGTCGCGTGTCAGAAACGACATGCGTCTTCTCTGTTTCGATGTGATATCATCTGCCACGCGTCCATCTCTTATTGGCTGTGACCCCTGCATTCCAGTACGTTCTGACACTAATTGTGTAAGACGAGGTCATGATGAATAGCCTAGACTAGCCTAGGCTAATGACCTGTATGTCAATAGTTTATCCTGGAGTAGAGGAAGCGTCCAGGACGGGTACCTCTCGGCACCGAGGAAAGGCTCATCTCGGGACCGAGGGAGGTATGCCGACCGAAGTACATATCAGACCGAGGCCACGTGTCGGTTGTAAAATATACTGAATGCATGATCCTATATGACGGTACCTCGGGGGCGAGGACATTCGTGCGCCGATGGTGCTTGTTCTTAGCAACAGTGTTTTAGTAAAACCGAGGACACGTGTCTTCATCATAGAATATTTCAGAAAAGTCTCATCAATTGACTGCATTGATCTCAGTAGCTACGCCACCCACGGAATTTAACGAACCTAAAGGAGCATGAGTCATATATTCTGCAGAACGTCGTTCTTGCCAAGGTTGTATGTCTTTTTTCAACCTACTCAAGTCCAACCCATTTGGACCCCTTAGAGGTTCTAACCACGGAGCACGCAGATCCCAAAAACGCATAGTTTCTCCTCCAAATGATATTACATAAGTATAATAACAAGTGTCATCGTTGTCCAACTAATTTCCATTTCTATAATGAAATTGTATCTTCACCGAAAAAAAAATAAAAAATTTGCTCAATAGTAGTACCAAACAGTACATCATCAGTCTTTCACAAAAAATACCTTGTTCCCGAAGATCAAAGTGTGAATGAAGTTAGTCATATACATATGCACTTTTGAACTTCCAACATTTCTACACGTTATCGGAATGTTAAGTTAACTAGAAAGTTCAAAATTATCCACTCAGATGCAATTGTTTTGTGATCTAAATCTAAAAACGTGCCTATCGATCATTAGAGTCTCTCTCTTAATTCTTCCTCATTGCATGGACCTCTATCCGTTCATTGCAAGAAGCACGATCAAGCAGATACGTTCACCAGCCCACCCATGAGAACCGCGATTCAGCTCAATAAAATCAACTTTCCATGACATCAATCCTTGCTCACCTCAAGCCGGCAGCTGAAGCTTAGCATTGTTTTTCCAGCTGCAAAAGAAATGCTTTGCTCAGTTTGTTTATTTGATAAGACACATCTCGTGGATGGATCACCGTTATCAAACAAGTGGAGGGATGCATTACCTGAGGAAGTAGTAGTAGAAGAAATCTGCATAGAGAGCAGTCTGGACAAGACCAGAGATGGAAGCTGAGAGCAAAAGGATACAACAAAAAAAAAAAATTCAACATTCATAACAAAATAATCGATGCAAAACACATCATCATCCTCAGAATTTCGTGCTATAACGTACATATCCATCGACTATATTTCTGCTCAGTGAAATAGCGGTAAATCCAGTTGAAAATATAGAACGAGCGATAAGCCCTGCAAAATACAAAAATGAGCTAGACATTTAAGCAAAAGTATCTTAAAGTTGAATAACAACAATTGCTTAGTTATCCTAGTAATGTGGAAGAAAACAGCTATGGAATTATGATACAGGTTTGCGATCTTCATACATTCGAGTAAGTATCGATTGCATGACCATATCAGAATGGACCCTATATGCATATGAACAGAGTTTGTTTCAATTGAAAGTGAAACCCAGGGAAAAATGAGTCAAGGTTAGGAATATATTATATATTATTTGATGAATGGTATATTACATTCAAGCTTCAGTCTATGAACTGGAAACCTCAGGAATCAATGGAAGCCACATTCCATATTTTGAATAGTTTTGGCTGTTAAATTCCAAGAGAGAGAAACAACCAAACAAAACATGGTTTGCGGTATCGCCAATCTCCAAAAACAGTGTCAAGGGTTTACTTTTTCCAAACACTCTTAAAGTTTGATCAATTCAAAAAATTATTCAACAGAGGGGAACGGGAACACACAACTACCAGTCTACCTGATACCAAAAAAGTATGCCCCTGGTGGCACAATATTTGTTTGTGAATGGCAGAAAAACTGAAAAAGTTGAACCTGTAAGAAGATTCACTTAAACCAAGCCACGAGGAGACGGCAAAGAAAAAGGGGGGACGGGGGCTAGTGGTTACCCATCTACTTTCCTATCATGTTGTTTTCTGATTGTTCTCCTTTCCTATTATGTGGTTTTCCTATTATGTTATACTTTTCTAAAACTATTATTATGTTTTCCTATAAATAGGTGATAGTGTGTTGGCAACATATACCCTACACACAATATTGTGTCATGCTCTTTTTTTCCTCTCTTCATCTTCCCTTTCTTTTTCTTAACTCTAGCGTACATCTATTCAAGTTTCAATACTATACATATCAGGGCCGGCTTAACAGCATTGAAAAAAAAAAAGCATGGGCTTTAAACCCAAAATTTTTAGGCACATTACTAACCCATAAAAAAATTAAATCCTTTAAATTTTAAACCCTAAAAAAAGGGCCCCAAAATATTAAGTACAATCAACATTTTTATTGTAATAATTTGGATCCATGATTTAATTCATAACATTAGAAATCTAAAAATTATAAGTTGAAAAAATAAAAAGTACTCAAAAGTCAACTCATATTTACCCCCCCCCCCTCTCTCTCTCTCTCTCTCTATCTCTCTGTGTAAAAATTAGTACAAAACATTAAAAAAAAAGTTAAAATTAAACTCTTCCCTGAAAAAAACAAAAACAAAAGTTAAAATATTTTTTTCAGTAACACTAGCACGTCCTTCTTCGGTCTCTCTCATATAATAAATTGAAAATAAATTAATTTTGTTAAAAAATTAATATTAAAAATAAAAAAGACCTCATTTAGTGTTTTCGCTTTAGGCTTCCAATTGCATTAAGCCACCCCTGGTACATATTACCACTCAAAAAAAAAAACTCTATACATATTAATCCTCCTAGTTTGGATAAGAAAACATTACATAAAAAACCTTTTAACATCTGTTAAAGTTCAGGATAATAAAGAGTAAACAACTTTTTTCTTTTATAAGTTGGTCGAATATAAAGAACGTATAGACAGATCTAAATATGTAATCACTAACCAAACATATATGCCCATGACACTGCACTGTGGTGTATGGAAAACAAATATTGGTGATTTGTCATTAAACTTAACATACTGTACATAGTGAACCTTCATATACTATTGCCTTACGTGAATTACAGCATTTCTTTTTTTCAAGTCGGCAGAAGTCTAACCCTGAACGTACGAGTTATTCCAGTTTATGCTTCACTGTAAGTTCTGGGCCAGTATTTTACACATCGTATGCTTGTGTAATATCATCTTTTTTTTAAAAAAAAAAATTCCTGCACAATCAAATGTTCCATTAATCTGTCAAATCCATAAACTTCCCATCAACCCAACCGTGTTCAATTTGACCATGCACGCACTTAGCCTTATAGAGCCCCATACAATCCAAATCACACCTTAAGTTTCTCTAGTCCAGTCAAGCCCCACGGGAATTCCATGCACATAATCATTCCATCGGTGTCTACCTAACAGATGTGATTACCAAGTGAGATTACTACGACATTTGCATTGGTATGCCATGCCGCACAAGCTTCACTACATGCTGGCCTGGGTACAAATGCAGACTGCATAGATATCAAACTGTCGTGCAGAAGCACACACAAACAGACATGTTCATATCTTATTCCCAATAATATATATGCATAAACACCTATCTAACTGCAGTCAAGATTAATGGCAACACAGTATCATCAATGACAATATATTCAAGCTAGTAGTCAAGGAGTTCTAAAATAAATTCAAGATCTCATAAAGTAACCAAAGATGAATAAACAAAATGGAGTCGTCCAGAGTGGAGTACATCCATGTTTAGCAACAAAACAGCCATTACTATGAAGATCATTATAGATGTACAGGACGAATGAATGACATGCTTTTGTTGATATGGGATGATAAATTAATGCTAAACCATATGATTACCAAATCTTAAATTTGGATGACAACAAGGTCTTAGTTCAATAAAGATACCTTATGCAACAGAAATTGTGATTTGTTTATAAGCACCAAAACGGTCATTTCCATATTATATTCTTTCCTTTTATAAGAAAATTTTACATATTATACCGGAGACTACTTGGTCCATGAAAACAGTGCGTGCAAAATAAAAGTGTATTTACCCAAGGAAGAAAACATATTGTCCAGTCAAGTTGTCCACATTGCCACTTCTTTGTAGCAGGACCAGTTGGGGAAGAATCGCAACTGCCTCCAAGTATATTGAAAATGCCCAGAAGATCTGCAACAATATACATAAAAATTAGCAGTCCATCCTGTTGTGCTATTATAACAAAGAATGACAAATACAACTCAACTCAACACAGTTTATCTCAACAACTCAAGGTGAGCTACATGAATCATTTTTCTCTATTGCTCCCTATCAAGGGTCCTATTTTCAGTTAAATAGTAAGTTATCATATTCATTTTTACTATATCATTCAAATTAAATTCGGCCTACTTCTACCTCTCACATTACCATCAATATCAAATCACTCATCCACGATGATGCAATACTAGATTTTCAATCAACATGTCCAAACCGCCTAAATCAATTTTCTATTAATTAACTTCCTATTGGTGATTATGTATATTTTCATTTCTAATTCTATACTTCCAAGTCTTGCACCTATCCATCCTACCATTGCCACACAACTGAAAATGCCTATCATTGAGAAAAATGTCAGATTCTTAGATCCATAATAAAATTGGAGCAAATCATAAAGACAGGTTTCTCATCAACCGAGAATATAAACTGAGCAAGTGAACTCAACATTTATAAGGAAAAAATATGATAGGTAGAAACCTGGCAACAGTTGTCACTGGTGATAACTTTTTCATCTTTACATGCGCCATGATCCTAGGATTAAATTTTAAGCAATAAATTGTTTAATAGATGCTTAGCTTGGAATAGGTTGAACCAAGGCACATAGGTCCAGTTTGTTGTTTTCAAACACTCAGCCCTCTACGATGGATCAAGGAACCAATTTCATAGCAGCCCCAATATCACTAGTAAATTCCAAACTTCATATACATAGTTATGCGATGGCATCAAGAAAATTCAACACTATCAATCCCCAAAAAGTACAAGTCACCTCTACAGTTGACTGAACTAACACCATAGCTCATACTAGCGTAAAAATTACAAAAACAAGCTAAAGACAATCAATGACTATGACTAACCTCCTGAGTTGTGAACTTCTCATGTACAAAAAGTGCCAACACAAAACTCGCAGCAATGAGAAAGTAATGCCGAAAAGTATCAAGTTCACGATCATACGAGCGCTTAACAACTCGGTGATAGCGCATGCACCACACTATTGCCAGAGAGCTCCCAATAAACACCAGCTTCATCACAGTGTTATACACAGAAATGAAGTCTGTAAACAGGTCCAAGTATCGAGCTAGAAACACAACCGCATACAGCTCCTGAGTCTTCAGTGAAATCCCTGAACATAGTTCCAAACAATTTCAGATCTCACCGACTGAACAAAATCATATTAAGCACTGAAGAAGCTCAAGTCAAAGCCTTACATAATACCCACACATACGTATGTTCGAATATTAGTGCCACACATGTTCAATTTTTGGCGACCCAATAAACTAGGATAAACACAAGAAGAGCACAACTGGCACCCTAATTCAATCATACCAATTAAATTAACATCATAACAGATATATAAATTCTCAGTGCACACACTATCCCAATTTATATATACACATCTGTAATTCTGTATCTATTAAAATCGAAGATTCCATCCAATTTCACTTTAACTGACTCAATTGACAAGAATAAATAGACACCAGAAAAGCTCAATCGGAACCGCAATTCAATTCTACCAATTTATGCACCCGGATATAGACATAGTGCGAAAATGTTTCAGTATCACCAACTCAATTAACTCAAATGGACCCAACAAAGAGGATCCAATTTTAAGACAATACATGAATGTAGATATTATACACATACAGACTACATTGTCGTACATCTTTAGTTTCACAAACTCAATTAACCGAATTGAACCCTAGAAACGCATAACTTACGCCTTAGTTTCACACACACAGACACATATCGATCACAGTGTAGAGGTGTTGGATTTAACCGACTAAATAAACTTGAATAAAACCCTAAAATGTTCAATTTTAAAACCCTAACACAGTCACATAAGCGTGTGAATACGATAAGTAATGTAAATATACAAACGAATATGAGATTAGGATTGACCTGTGCAAGATTTTGTGGCGTATATTTTGAGAAGAAGCACCAAGATACTGATCAAATGAAACATGTCGCCTGCGAATCTGAATATATTCATGGTCGCAGAAAGGATTTGTGCCCTAGATTATGGAGAGATTCAGCGAATTGCGGCGACAAGAGGTGAAATTAGAGAGAGAGATAGAGACAGAGAGAGACGGGGGAGAGACGCAAATGAATGAACTTGTTAAAATGAGAATTGTGTCGGTGCAGCGTCTTACTCTTGGCTGCTGCACCGTCATACTCTTGGCTACCTTTGAAATAAAATTTTGGGTTAATTGTAAATTATACCCAAAAGATCGTTTAAATTTTAATTTATACTTTTAAATAGCAAAAATTTTAATTTATACCCTTAAAAATAGAAATTTGTATCAACCAGCAATTTCAGTTTACCATCTAAAATTAAATAGATAAATTATACTTAGATCCGCTCATGTTTATAACTTAATCATTTGAACTCCCTTATATTTTAGATATTACTCCTACACCTCCTAACGTTTGTTCATGTGTGACACCTAACCACTTGTCATTGATATCTATTAATATAACGGTTAAAAAATATGATTTCATCATAATAAAAAATTATAATTTTATATTATATTTTATTTTATGGGTTCATTATACTCTAAAGTTAATCAAACTTACCATTTGAATATCAAATATAATGTAAATATTTATATAATATTTCTTTATATATAACGCAATACATCACTTTAATAGAATTATTTGAATACCTAATTTGGGGAATATTTGTAGTCATATTAGATTCTCAAGGAATGTAGGTGTAATATTTCAAACCTAAAGAGTCTAGGCGATTAAGTGATAAGTATGAGAGAGTTTAAGTATAATTTATTTATTTAGCATTATATTGGTAAACTGATAGCTGTTAACTTGATATGCACATTGACCGAAATTATTATCTTTGAGGGTATAAATTATTTTTTTTTATATTTGATGGTGTAAATTTAGATTCAAACAATTTTTTGAGGTATAATTTGAGATTAACTCTGAATATTTTTATTACGGAAACAAAGAGAGAATTACATAAAAGGCTCCTGAACTTTTAAATATTTATTCTGTGGATTGTAATAAGAAAATTTGTTAAGATCAAAGAAAATTTTACATATATAAAATGGCATCAAATCTTGAGATTGGGATATTATAAGATTTTTTTTTGGCAGTTCAACACTTAGAGATGTTCGGGCTAGTTTATACACACTTTCAACTAATTTTCTCACGGGTTTAGTTAAAAACAAGTTATCCACGTCAAAATTATGGTATTAATGAGTAATATCGTAAGATTAAGAATAAATAACGTCAATGTTGTATAAAAAAATATTAGAATTGTTGAATGGAATTAACTTCCTAAGAGAATTTTGAATTTGTATAAAACATGTGATTTATATGCACTAATTTGTATAGTAGACATCATTCGTGAGCAATTAATAACTAATAGTGCAGTGGGTGGAGATTAAATCCAAATAAAAATATGAGTTTTGTACATTAACACATGTGAGTTTGTAGTAATTGTTCTTTTTTAATAGGGAATGATAAGATTGGATATTGAAATGAAAAATCATTATCATAAGGTTTAAGAGCATGGGCCACAAAAATTGGAAAGGCTACTGTGTCGTCGGTTGTACCGTATCGAAATTTATAATTTTTTAATGTTAAATTAAAATTGTTTTTGAAATATAAGTTTCAACTTTAAAGAAGTAATTTTTTATGAAAGGTCAAGGTCGATATCGAGAGTTTATGAGTGATTATGATTGTTTGTAATTGATCAGATTCTTCCACCGAGCAATTGTAACTATTTATTTTAAAATTATAATTTTATCATAAAAAATCATAATAGATAGTACTTTAGACTCTCCCAAAAAAAATTTAGGGGAACAAATAAAATTACACTATTGTACCATAAACTTTTTGATAGCATATGTGGACCCAAGTCTGTGCCATAAGTTGACCTCAATGGCAATGACCACATCATGTAAACAAAGGGGGAATCACATTTTACACCAATTTTTTAACATTACATGCTTAATGTATTAAAATCATTTGAGTATAGTTATGACATTAGTTTTTATTTGCTAATTTTATCAAAAACTATTTTCATTGACAACGATGGAATGAGCAACATAAGTTAATGATTGTATCCCACCATAATCTATATAATAAATTACAATACAACTCAAATTTCAAAAGATAAACAAAATAATTTTTTTTTTTCGCAGTTGAAATCTCTTTAAATTTTACTTTAAAATTAATTTGATGGTTAATATTAACTTCTCAAATTTTATGAGAAAAATAAGCCCTTAAAGATGATTTTAAGATAAGTTTTTACAAGTGTTTTTAGAATTTTTAACTTCTCGTAAATACTTAAAAATTTTTTTTTTTTAAAAATAGTGTTTGAAATCACTCTATCACCATCATCACTACAATTGCCACCACCACCGTCGCCATCCCTTACCACCACCTCTGCCACAATAATCACTACTGTTGTTGCCTCCACCAATGTCGTCACCCCACCACTACTACCCCCATCATGACCACTACCACCACCACCGCCTCACCACTCTCCTTACCGCCCCACCATTACCTTTCCACTACTACCACCACTATCACCTCTACCACCATCTCTGTCATAACAACCACTACCATTGTCCTTTACCATCACCATTGTTGCCACCACCACTATCGCCACCCCACCACTACCACCGCCTACCGGCTCCACCACCACCCCCCACGACCATTACTATTACTATCACCGCTGCCACCACCACGTACTTTCATTACAATTGGTGCTTAAATTTATTTTTTTATCATCTATGTTTGTGATTTGATTTTAGGTATGAATATAATATATTTATTGTTGATCATTTTGTTTATTGCTTCGTATCTTCAAGCACATAATATATTAAGGATATGATGTGAAAATTTTAATCTGTTGAAATATAAAATAAAAATACTCAAAATTTTTGGGGCCAAAGTGTAATTCACCCTAAATGTAAAACCCCCAACCCCAGGTAGAAGAATTTCACAGAATAATAGAAGTGGACTCCCCATTTTGCCATTTCTCTCCCACTTTCTCTTTCCTTCTCTCTGTCTATCTCTCCGACACCAAAACGAAGCTTTTCATAGACAAAATCACTACTCAATCAGTGAAACATTGATATAAACAGATATATAGTGTGTGTATGCGTGACGGGAGCATGGGATGTACTGGATCGTCGCGTGCCAAAGGAGACGGTCAGATTTCAGTTCTTTTTTTTGTTCTTTAATCTCTCTCTATCTGTCTCTCTCTATGTATGTGTGTGTGTATTTGTGCGTGAATTTGATTGGTAGTGTTTATATACATTGTAGTGTGAAATTCTTGCATTTGTTGTTGTTGTTGTTTTTGCGTGTGTGTATTGATGATTCTGATTTGACTTAGGAATCTAGTATTTGGAAGCTTAATTACTTCGTTTTATTTATTTCTGCTGTTGTTGCATTTGAGCTGCGTAATTAAACTCACCCTAAACGTGTGGTATTAATTATTCACTCAGGTGAGATGAATTTGACGTTTGTATTATGTTCATCTGCCACTTAGTTCTTCTACAAACTGGGTGAATGAATTTTATATAAGGAATTTTTGATATCATTTATATCATAAATTTGGTTAACGTCCAGATAGAGTGATCTGTATTAGTGGAATAATTGCAGTGCGTACCATCCTGTATCTCTTTCATCAAGGTCTGATTGGTTTGACTTGCCAATTTAGCAACTTCAACTTTAGTTTAGTTGAATCAATCTTGCATAGAATTTCAATGGAATCAGCACAAATGAATTCCAATTGGGCATTGATTTTGGGGCATTCAATGACTTTTCATGTATGATTGATGATGGGCGTGGAACGACGGTAGAGTCAAACTGGGTTGAACACTCAACAGTAGAAGTCTCCGAATAAAATCCCTCATTTCCATGCCGGGCTGGAATCAGTTTTAGTGCATAATAAACTATTCTCATTTTGATCTACGTACAATATGTCTTACAACTACCTAAAATAAACTAAACTAGAGCTTAGATTACCGGTAGGTAGGGCTGTTAAACAAGCTAAGCTTGAACATTTTTTTAAACTCGTTTATGTGTAAATAGTCAAACAAGCCAGCTCGTTTATGTGTAAATAGTCGAAGGTTTAGACTCGAATTCAGCTCGATTATCACCCCTACCGGTAGGTGGTATAATTGGCCGAAAGGAAGGAGATTGATAAAGGTGATATCAGTTGTTAAATCATCTTGTGTAATTCAACTATTTGAGATGTTTGCAAGAGGGCACTCAAAAGTCAAAAGCAATAACAAAGTAACACCTACCTCGATTCCACTGTAAAAATCATTTGACTTGCCTCTTCTTCTGCTTGAATCAGATGACAGACTAATTGGAATTTCAATCAACATAGCTCAATGATTTCCAATAAGTATTTTGGCATGTCCATTGGAATCCATGTTACTCTATGAGATGCTTTTTTTGACTTGCTATCGTTTTGCGACCTCAGCTTGAACTAAATGACAAACTAATTGGAGTTCCAATTAACTTGGCCAAATGATTTTCAATTAGTATTTTGGCATTTTCGTTGGAATACATGCCACTTTATGAGAGACATTGTCTTAATAATAGCCTCATGGATTTCCTTGCTGGTTAATTTCTTGTACCATGTCATGGTAAGTTAAATAGTTGGGATAAAAGTTTTATTTAGTTTAATAGGATATCATGTTAAGTTACTTTAAATTGTGTGTACCTACCCTGTTGATTATGTGATTATCACAACATGTTTTGTGTAATGATTGGAACACATGTGAGTAGCCACCATGATTTAGGTAGTGATATTGTTCCAACTGTACAAGCCTATAAAACTGAAAGGTGCACAGTGAAGTAAATGGAAAAAGTGGATAGGTCACATAGCAACAGGTGTTGAATTTTCAATGCTAAGCATTAGGCATCGAGTGTAGCTATGCAAGAAATTGCTAACAACACTTAGGCCTGCCTTTCATTTTAATTCGATTTTTCATAAATAAAAAAATTGAGTTTGGCAGCTAGATGATATGCACAAAGGATTACGTACTTTGTCGGAGTCATTTTTCTGTTTATTTGGTCACAGAAAATACTAAGAAAATACAAAAACCAAAGCCTTGGAAGCATTCTGAACCAATAACAAGTGCAACACTCATACAGATGCGTGATGAATTCTGGGACACTGCTCCGCATTATGGTGGCCAAAAAGGTATTCCACTCCAACAAAAATGAAGTATCTTTCTTATTTTTTGACATTTTTTTGAAAAATGTTATAAGGAGTTTATTAATGAATATATCTGTATATGTACGGGTGGTAACTGGTAAAATTACATTCTAGCTGGAACCTACTCCATTTTAATCTATAAACCTTTTTATTCACCTCCTATTCATCACTTCCTTCACCAATTTCATTGATTGTTATCTATTCCTCATGCACTTCAAAATTCGAATAATGATTCAGCATTTGGAAAAACACTTCAGGTTGAGAAAAGAATAATAGCAACCTTCTGGGAAAAAAACAAAAAGAAAATTTTTTGACGTTCAAGATTCATTGATTGTTATCCCAGACCAAGACACTAGAATATATGATTCCGAATTTGGGAAACCATTTCGGCTGTGAGAAGAGAATAATTGAAACCCACTGGCAAAAAACACCAAAAAGGAAAAAGGATACTATTATTAAGGTTTACTGGCTTGTGGTAGTTATGAAATTGATGGACTCTTGGGAAAAAAGACTTGATGAAATTTAAAATTATGTTCTGTACAATATCGTCGTCATCATCATCATCTTCTTTTTCTTTTCTTGGGCTAGTCTTGGTTTCTTTGGTTTCATCCTTAGCATTCTCTGATGATTTCTTTTCTGTTTCCAAAAATAGTATAGTAGTATTGGAGTTCTAAACCACCAGACCCACTACCCTGCACAAAGAAGAAGGAAAAAGAATAAATTTCGTGAAGAAAATATGTGGTTGTGCTTGTAATTGCACTTTATAGGGCTGGGTTGTTATTTGGTGGCTCTATTAATGTATTCAATCGATAGTGGATGAAAACGGAATATCTCAGCTAGAAATTATGTATCTTTTTTAGAGATTTGGGATGCACTCCATGCTGCAGTCGACGCTGACTTGAGCCTTGCTCAAGCAATAGTTGACAGTGCCGGTATTGTTGTTCAAGCGCCTGACTTGACCATCTGCTATGATGAAAGAGGTGTGTAATCCATTGGAAACTTGTATATTTCTGAATTTTCTTTTCTGCATCAAAGTTTTAATTGGCTTCTGGACCTGCTCTTGCAGGTGCAAAGTACGAATTACCCAACTATGTTTTGAGTGAACCAACCAATTTAATCCGCGACAGTTGACAGTGATGAGATGACTGGATACAATTCTTTACAAAGACTGTAAATTGTGCAAATTGGTCTCATATCATTTTTTCTAAATACCTCCAATTATTCCAAAAAACATTATTGTGATCACAGAAACAGCTGCTAAGTCATTATTGTGGATTCTCTGAGGATCTATCTAATTGGAATTGTAGCATAACACTACTTTACCATGAATTACTGTTGGTACATACCGTGATTCTGTTGTTTGTGCATTATCCCATGGTAGTGATTTTTCACGATATACGTATGTGGGTCCTTCATCAATATCTGGTGAATGATTTAGGATTGAGGCAAATTGAGGGGAAGTGTTCTGGATGAAATCTCTCCATCCCGGTATCTTCAGGACCCGACTACATGGAAACTTAAACTGAGCTGCTTTGGTATCATTTAGTAGGGTGAGTATCTGCATTCCCTTTGGTAGAATAACAAACCAGCACTTTATTTTTCATGTTACCACCTGCAGAATCTTTACAGCAATTACTTACCAGAATTTGACATTGTGGTCAGCAATTGTTATTTTCACTGTCATGAACTGTTGCTGAATAATCCTTTTGTATGTGGTTCTGTTGGGGATCATTTGCTAGGGTAGATGTAATTCACGACCATTCATCGCTGCTGATTTGACCCTGGGCCGGCCCAACAGTATGAAAAAAAGCATGGGCTTTAGGGCCCAAGTTTTTAGAAAGCCCCAAAATTTTAGGTATATCACTTGTCCACAAAAAAAATTAAATTCATTAAATTTTAAGCCCTACAAAAAGTCCCAAAAAATTAAGTAAAAATTAGAAGTGAGTCTTCCTAGATGTACTTGTTTGGAGATAAGTCCTGTAAGGAAACTTAAAAGAGGCTAAGTTCATGTTTACAATTATATGTAATGACTTAAGTCTATTTTTTTTTTTATTTCAAAAATACCCTTCATTGAAAGGAAGTTAATCTTTTCTCTCTCATATCTATTTATATCCATATATAGGTTAAGAGTTTTATTTACATTAAAAAAAAATTTCTCTCTCTTTTCTATCTATATTCATATATAGGTTATATATATATAGTAATATTCAAATACAAAAAAAAGTTACTATGAATTTGAATAATAAAATTTAAATTAATGTTACTATTTTTTTATCATGTCACTGTTTTGTTAAGTATGTTGCTGTTCATGTACTATTATTTTTGAGTATGTTATTGTTTTTGTTGAGCATGTTACTATTATTATTTTCCTAAATATTACTATTTAATGTTACTATATTTTTTTTTTGAATATTACTATTTTTAGTATTTGAATGGTACTATTTTTTACATTTGAATTTGAGAGAAATAATTATTATTAAGTATGTTACAGTTTTTGTTAAGTATGTTACTATTTTGGTTGAACATGTTAATATTTTTGTTGAACATGTTACTGTTGTTATTTTTTAAAAATATTAATATTGAATGTTTCAATTTTTTTATGTTTAAATATTATTATTTTTTTGTGTTTAAATGTATTATTTTTTGTTTCTAAATGATAACTTTTTTTTATTTTTAATGTTATTATTTTTTATTTTTAATGTTATTATATATATAACCTATATATAGATAAAAAAGATAGAAATTTTTTTTTAATGTTAGTCAAACTCTTAACCTATATATAAATATAAATAGATATGAGAGAAAAAAAATTTTAATGTTAATCAAACTCCTAAGATTTAGGAGTATTTAATTTTTAATTTTATTTTATTTCTAAAGGGAAGAGATAGTATAGTAAAATTGACAAAAAATGGACTTCATAACAAATAAGTTTCCTTGACGGACTTAAGTCCAAACAAGTCTATATAGAGGGACCGGCCTCCAAATTTTCCAAAAATTAAATCCAATAAAAAAATTTATTGCAATAATTTAGACTCATTATTCAATTCACAACATTAAAAACTTAAAATTAAAAAAATAAAAATACTCAAAAGTCAACTCGTATTTACTCTCATTCACTTTTCTCTTTCTCTCTCTCTCCGGTAAAAAAATAAAAAATAGAAATAGAAGTTGAAATTAAACGCTCTCTTTTTCGACAACATTAACACATCATTCTTTTGTCTCTCTCTTATATAGGAAATTAAAAATAAATTAATTTTTTTTAAAAAAATAATACTAAAAATAAAAAAAATCCCTATTTAATATTTATGTTTTAGGCCTCAAATTTATTTGAGTCATCCCATCCCATCCCATTCCGAGGAACAGACTCGTATGCGTAGCGAATATCTAACATTACCAACGCGTGAGTCAGAAAAATGATTTCACTTGCATTCTTACATTTAACAAAAGTCGTCGTGTTAAGGTATTTGTATGCTGATCGCCGGTTACGATTCATCGATAAATTTTGACCGCTGATTCCTCCTCCCCAGAGGCCCGCCTGACCCCCAAAATAATGTTCTTAGGTTATTTATGGTGACAACTGTGGTAGGGTATTGTAACATCAGCTTGGTTCTACCCCTGACAGGTAAATATGTACTAACTAAGTAACTTGGGTTATGGTCCTGCTTGAACTACAAAACTTAAAAGCCCACTTGAGATTAGGTATTAGTTTTCATCATCACAGAGTTTGTTGCCCCAGCCCATTGGTAAGTTGTTTCTCTCTTTCTCCCTCTCTCTCCAAATGTTTTTTTTTCCCCTCTCTGCAAGATGGTCATAGGCATAGCTAGGCGAGAGAATCCTTTCACAAAACTCCGATAATAGCCCGCCAATCCTAAAAAAAATTTCTCATTACATAAATCATGTTAAAGTCAAATTTGTGTATATTTATTGACGGACTTTTTATGCATCTAACCTTTAAAAACTAAATTTATACCCAATAATTTCGGGTCTATTTGCATGTTGGGGTTGTCGGACTATGTTAAAAATTTTCGAAGGGTGGCCCACTGCATTTCAATCCCTAATTTACCCCTATATAATTTGAAACATGGTAGTAGACGGCGGCCGCAACGGGGCATGTGCATAACTAATTACTTTTAATCAATTGCTATGAACTGCCATTCTGAAGATTAGAGAGCTTGGAACACAAATCCAAGATGTTGTCTCTTGAGAACTAGACAGGCATGAGCTCTTTCTAAACAAGGAAAATGATGCTCTCCACCCCCATCTATTTTGAAAGTCAAGCAAAGCAAGGAATCTTTTTTAATCAAAAAGTCTGCAACTTTGAATGGATTCCTATGACTTTACATGCTATTTTCATTATTATGGAGGTTAGGACATTTCAAAAAGTTATTAATTTGGGTTAATGTCATAGTGTTTTTTTTTTTTTGAAGATGACAGTGTTCAAATTTTCGATTTTAAGAGTCTAACAATAGAGACGGGGCGCGGTGGAGTTGAACAACCACTAACCTCAGAATAGTGGTTAGTTAACCACATTAAGTTGGGCATTATCTCTATCAGAGACTGCCATCTAAGGTAAAGACAATTATCAATTATGCACCTTCTTTCAAAGAGGTCTATTTGAAGCCATGGAGCCTTTCACATGTCCTTACCTTGTAGGGGGGCACTTTAGCTGTGTAGCTGACTATTAAAAACTGTGGAAAGACATAGGCTTTTACAGTCAGAAACTATTGGTTGTGAACTTAACTTGCTATGTAGATGTCATCATATATATTATACAAGTTGTTGAGCACTCCTTTTTTGGGTCATCATTAACTTAGTTTAATCACTTTATCTTTTTATCTTGGTTTGTTCTCAATGAGCTTTAAATCCTAGGACATAGCTATTTAGATTTAAAATATATACCTCATAATCACAATATTGAATAGATACTGGGATCCACAGATATCAATGATTATGATTATCAAATACATTTTTTAATTTTATGTAACATTGCTCTTAAATTCTAGGAGAGAGTAGTATTTTCTTTTGTGTTAATCTCAAATTGCATTCTGAAATAACGTTTGAATCTCAATTTGTGCACTTAAAGATAAAAAATTTTAATTTGCACTCTCAAGGATATAAGTCTGTATCAATGTGCACCTTAATATAACAGCCGTCAGTTTGCCGTCTAAAATTAAATGGATAAATTACACATAAATCCTTTCATACTTGTCACTTAATCATTTAGGCCCCACATTTAAAATATTACACCTGTATCCCTTTAGAATCCAAATATGACTAAAAATGTTTTCCTAATTGGACATTCAAATAATTCTGTTTAAGTGATGTATTGTATTGGATATAAAGAACATTATATTGGGCATTCAAATGATAAGCTTAATTTTGAACTTTAGAGTATGATAGATTCACAAAATAGAGAGTTGTAAAAAAATTATAATTTTTTATTATGATAAAATCATATTTTTTAACAGTTATATTAATAGATATTAACGATAAGGGATTATGTGTTACACATGCACAATCGTCAAGAGATGTAAGAGTAATATTCTAAATGTGAGATGATCCAATGATTAAGTGATAAGTATGAGGGGATCTAGGTATAACTTATCATTTTAGTTTTAGACGGCAAACTGACGGCAATTAGTTTTAGATGCGCATTGATATAAATTTCTATCTTTGAATGTGTAAATTGAAATTTTTAATCTTTGAGGATGTAAATTAAAATTTGAACAATCTTTCAAGGTACAATTTGCGATTAACCCTGCTCTTTTCTTTTGTTTTCTCTCTTTGGGTTGTTCCCAATGAGAATATTTTACCACTAGAATATAACTATGACATTTGAAAATTGGAGAGGGGGTAGTGGTGACTTGTTTTGGCATTTTGTACACGATTCAAGAATTTAATTCGATATTAGTATATTTGAGTTGAGCCTAAGGAGTTTTGGGTGATAAACGGGTACCCCCATCAATCCTGTCAAGTAAATAGATCAACATTATTCTGATCAAGTATGACATAAAATTAGATAAATTTGGTTTATCTATATCAAAACTCTACTATGCGCGACTATCAATGAATTAAGTATGAGTTGGACAAATTTTATTACGAAACGATTTATATTCCTAAAGACTTCCGTCTAACCACTTACTTTATGATAGTCAAGCTTGTTACAATAACTGATTAATCATGTTGGATATATTAATAATCATCTTTATTCCTCCATGTACCAATTCATTTTAAAAGGAGACTTGAAATCAAAATCTATTATTTTGGAAAACAACATTAATTAAAATAGGATTTCTTTTAACTCTATTTAGCATGCCAAAAATAGGAAATTACTCACACTAGCACATTTAGGTTGCACCTTCAAA